TGGCTGCAGCTGTGCAGGCTGTAGAACATAAGATCAAAGAGGAGGATGCACAAAATGAGTGAGTATTTATGAAGTTAATCTTCAGATTTTGCCACAGAATTTACCATTCATATCCACAACAGCCGCTCTGGAATACTTGTTGGCATCCAAGTTGATGATGAGAAGATCGGAGCATAAATTAACTTTTCAAAGTGAGAAGATTTGTTTCAGGCGTTGAGTAAAAGTCCTGTTCATCTTCTGCATAGACAATGTTTTAGTGACCGGCTGTTGGATGGACACGATACTGGAAATATGCTTATTCACTTTCTTTCCGAGAGGGAGGTGAGATTATTGATACCACTGTAATGGCTGTGCATTAAGTACAGAGACGGAGTCAGGACGTGGTTAGCCTAGCTTAGCATAGTGACTGAAAGTGGGGGGAAACTGCTAGCCTGGCATCTCCAAAGTTAAGAAATGCAATTACCAGCACCTGTAAAGCTCATTAATTTACATGTTGTACCTGCTAATGTGCATATTTTGCATATTAACACTCAAGCTTGTATAAAATTTTATTGCATGCGGTAGTTTGTCTTACGATGGTACATTTCACTTACATTTATAATTTTGTATCTTAGAATTTCACACTGTCTGTTAGCAAGTTCTTAATGAATATGCCACACTGCATTAACACTCACACAGTGAAACCTTTAAAGCAGAAATGTATATAACCATTTGTGGTTGCAGGAGACTCCCTACTGGAACTGTTTCTTGGGGGAATTACAGCGACTGTGGCATTTGACTTCAAGCTATTTCTGGCAACAGTCTTCTAATGTCTACCTCAGACGGAAAGCAAATAAGCATTTGTTCGAAAATGTTGAACTATTCCCTCGAGGGGGGGGGTGGTGTCAGTTACAACTCCCAAGAAACATGAAATCACTGAGTTCAAAGCCAGCTGGAGCCAAAGTTTACGCTTTGTAGAAACACGATAAAAACATCCAGCGTTTTATCACTTTCATTCACTTTAGAATTCTGGGTCAGTCGGGCAGTGTGCAGTGTTTATTCCCCATTTGCAACAAACAAACGGTTCTAAATTTGCCACAGCTCAGACGCCCAAACAAACAGTACAAAACATGGTTGGATAACCGCTATAACCGATTGCCATGACATAAACGCAGACTTGTGGTCCTTAGGGTTTCGATCCTGGGTTGTAACCTTGGTTACCAGTAACAGCGAGTGTGTTTTAATACTGCCACAGCAAACACTCGGCAGCTACTTTCTCAGTAAACAACAGAGCAGCAACTGGTGTATTTGTTTACAGCACAACCAAACAAATACATTGTATTTCCTGTGCAGCGTTGAGCAATGACTCAATCCATGTGCTGTCAATACCTCGTACTTAGGTAGGCAATATGAATCCAGGGCGGAAGTGACCGCCTCTACAACTACAATCTATATTGATAATCACTGAATGGAAATACAGTTAAAGGCTATTGCAGGAAAGATGCGGACCATAAATAGTATCAAAAATGAGGTTTGAGTTT